TAAGATTTTATTTAAAAATTTTGAATTTATTTTATTCAAATTAATAAATTATTAATATATAAGTGTGTCTTAAAATGATAAACAATTTTTTTTACTTTTTAATAATCTATCTTATATAATTCAAATTTATGATTTTTTTTTTGTTTTTATTAAAAAATTATTGTTAAATTATTTAAATGGTTTTTTATTATTTATATTATTTACATTAATTAACTAATAGTTTATATTTTTAATTAATTGTCAGATTTAATTTTTTATTTATGTAAATTATTATACATAATAAATTTTAAATTAATTAAATCTGTCTGACTATTTCGTAACTGCCCCCAAGTTTAGACTGTGAAATAAATAAAGGAGGAAAGTTTCTTCTTTCATATGGTTGGAAATAAATAAATGAAGACAGTGTCTTCTTTTAGATCGTTGCTAATGTTAAATCACCTAAAAATGTAACATGTAATAATGGGTGGAATGAATCGGCTTATAAGTTGCATCAGCTCGAAGGCTGAGATTCAATTCCCTTCTCCTCGTATTTGTAACTCTGTTAAAAAATAATAATAATAATGGGTGGAGTGAACGGTGGACCAGGGCTTCGGGCGGTAATGGTTTTGGTCTTTTGGGTTCAATAATTTACCTCTAAGTGTTAGTATTTGACTTTAATTAATTCAAAAATTCAACTCATATTAATAACATAAAAAAAATTCATTTTTTAAAATTCTATTATGTTCAAAAGTAATAATGATAATAATGGAAGGAGTGATAACATTCTCTCCCGAAACACAACTGGAATATATTATTTTCAACCCTAACTCTGTTCCCTCACCTCAATCCTTATAAAAAAATATGTAATAATTATAATGAATAATTATTTTCATTTAAAATATATATAAATAGAAAATTAAATTTAATAATTAATTTTGATAAAAAATAAATTGTATGAAAAATTATTGACAAGCTGTGGTGTAAATTTTTTAATGTAAATTGATCATAACTCTTTTAAAATTGGATTGTAAATAAGTTAAGTGAAATTCGTCACCAAGCTAAACTCAAGCTCATTTTAGTACTAATTAAAATAAGATTTAAATTATACTAAACTAAAATATCTAAAATAAATTTTAAATTAAACTAAAATTAAAATTTTAGATATTGAATATATATAATATTAGTGTTTATCTATAAGATCTCTAAAATATTAAAAGAAAAATATTTTAAAATTATATTATTTTAATAAAATACAACAAAAATATCAAAACAATCTTATTCTTACTTTAGAAATATGTTACTTAGTCTTTTTTAATAAAAATCTATTAAAAGTTAAAACATTGTAATTTTGTGATTTTTAATATAATTTATTAATGATTTAATTAATAAACATTTTTTAATATATATAATTATTTTTTAATATCATCAAGACAAATGTAAAGTATGGCTCGTCAAACTCGAATTCAAGTGGGGTTCAGCATAACTTGAATTCTAGTTAAATATTTCACGGATAACTTAACTTATTTACTGGTTTATTTCAAAAAAAAAAAAAAGAATCAGATCCCAAACATATCACTTAGGCTTTTTTTTTGTTATAAGCACATTACCTTTTTGTTTTTTGCAGAAATTTTTTATGGAAAGCGACAATTACATTGAATGAAAGTATTAGTTTTTGCTCTCTGGGGATGGTCCAAATGCCATCTCATTAGCTGTTACTTTGGTTCCCAAAGTATTACAATTGGGCTATTAAGCTACACAGATGATTCGTACAATACTTTTTATAAAAGAAATTTTTTTAACTAAAAATCGCTTTTTCACTCAAAATATTTTTAAATTTAAAGTATACAAAAGTACTTTTAGTTAACTCTAAAAATTTAAAAATAAATAAATAAACTTAACATGCGAACAGCTAAACATTCCCATTGAACTCCACAAAATGATCAATGCGTCACGCGTATTTTTAAAGAGGTGAGGTATTCACCAGATTTAAAAATTAAATTTTTAATTGATAATAATTAATAAAACTAATTTATTAATTATTATCTTGTAAAAAAAAAAAATCCCCACCGCTACCCCCAAAACCCCTCCAAGAAGCTTGCGAGTTAATTTTCGTTGAAGCATTTAGCCCCAAAATACAATATAAGACATTTATTTTTGGATATTGCTGTATTACTCTTGATTTGTGAAACCTGTAAGGGTTCTATGTACGTAGAATTATTCAAGAAAAATATTGCATATGTTTTTCTCTACGTTCATTTTTTTTTTTTTGTAATTTTTTCCTTTATTTTTTTTCACACATTTATTAAACAATTAGAATCAACTTAAATTATTGTAATTTAATCATTATTTATGCCAATCAATCATTCTTTTTACAATTTATATTTTGTCAAATTAATCATTAAATTTACTATTCTATCTATATAAATTATACATATTAAATTTTAAAATAATCTAACATTTATATAATCATTTTTTAATTTTATTAAAATAAAAACAGAGTCTCATTTTCATAATACTTAAATAACAAATCATGAATTTCAAAAGTCATAGTCTAATAATTAAACAGCTTCTCAAATGTGTACTTTTTTTTTTTTTTTTTGGTTTCCCGTCTAATATTTGAGACTTCGCTCCGACTACTCCGGACTCGACCAGCTGTGGCGTACCAGAATGGTGGGTGGGTTTCCCAACAAAGGCTGTTGCGTACACAAGATTTCAAACTCGAGACCTTACTTAAACTGGAACAAGCCGCTTACCACTTGATCCAACCATTCGTTGGTATCTCAAACGTATACTTTCTCCACTTGAAGATGGCCTATTTTGCCTTTTTATAAATGTATTTCATTAATAATTAATTTAACTGTTTAATAGTAATATATATCATCATTATAAAATTTCAATAAAAGGAAGCTGAAAATATATATATTTCATTCCTTTATAAACATTTCACAGTTAAAGTATCATTATATAAAAAGTCATATGCAAGTGGAGGAAATATAATAGGCATGATTATTGTCACTTAAACAAAGTGTTACAGTAATACAAATTATAGTTTTTTTTTCTTTAAATAATTGGTTATGGTGTTTGAAAAATCAGCTTATAGATTTTTCTCTTTAAAGTAATAAATATTAATTTTCTGTTAATTATTAATTAACAACTATAATTATCAACTAAACTAAATAGAGTTAGTGTTTTTAAAAACAATATTAAAAAATTTGTGCGGTCGTAACACTTTTTTTTATGTGATAATAATCATGTCCAAATATAACCTAACTCACCAAATTAATATATATATGTTAATATGAATTAAAAAAATCAATTATTTAAATTATATGTCAGATTATACAAAAAAATAAAACAAAAAAATTATACAAAAATCATTTTCCTAATATATATATATATATGATAATAATCATGTCCAAATAT